GTAAGTTAGTCAAGCATAAATGCCTGTTACGAAACCCACGTTGCTCGGGAATTAACAGGTTATACGAATCTATGTGACTTGGTAGCTTAGCTCAAATTGTCTTCTCAAGTAACTTAACGACTATGCTGGTTAGGCTGACAGGCTGGTAGTCAAGTACGATCCGTCTCTGGAATATAGGACCAACTGTAGCATCTTTCCAATTTCTAGGGAGTTGAGTGAGTGAAAGGACATGTTGAAAAGTGTCGCGAGCGGTCTTGAAATAATGTCCGAAAGAGGTGACAGCAGTCGTGGGTGTGATCCATCATGGTCCAGTACGTTATAAGGTTCGAGGTTAGTGACCAATGGAAGGACAGTTTCCTCAGTCACCTGTACAGATTCGATGGCTGGTATCTCGGTGTGATTGGGACAAGTATTTGTTACAACAAACGTAGAGTAGACTTCGTTAAAATAGTTTGAAAAAGTCTCAGCTATTGCCAGATCTGATTCAGCTAGTAAATCACTACATTTTGGTCGTCGTTGAACGTACGAAAACAATTGTTTCGGACAAGTTCGTTATCACACGCCAACTGTCATAAATAGTACGGTCTCTAACCATGAATTTTTAACATATATTCCGGACTTTTCGGTATTCATACTTAAATGATTCGTGTATTGCTGACAAGAATAAGTCCCAGAAGTGTTTCTTGCGCTTCAATAGCTTTCCGGTTTCCTCATTAATCCATGGAGAGCAATGTGATAGCTTACGTGTTGACGGTGACATAAACGGTGATGTTACGGACTCGAATGTAGCCTTAAACTTGTTTCATTCGTCTTCGATCGATTCACCCGTATCAACCGACCAGTCAGTCGAGGTAGCTCCCTAGATATTGGGGCGGGGTGGAGCAGATACAGATCGTATACCATGTGTCCTAAACTTAAAGTAAAGTACAACGTGATCACTGTTCACTAGTGGGGGAAGGTGCTGAATATTAAAGACATCCTCACAGTGGTGGGTGAGGGCAAGGTCCAGTAGTGACGGATCATGTTTCAAGTCAATATGTGTCGGTTTTGTGATACATTGTACAAGTGCACACTGAATAACGGCAGATAAAAGATCCCTATCGAAACCACCACCTAGAGCTGTAGTCTCTATCCAGTTGATATGCGGTGCGTTGAAGTCCCTAATGATGAGACAACATTCTGTCTTACTCCAAGAACAGCTGTGTCTTAAAATAAATTCGTCAGTAAGACAACACAGGCTATGGTATATTCCTCCTATAGTCACTAATCCGTGTCTAAACTTAATTGTACAATATGCTGATACACATGTACCACGAACATAAGCCTCTTATATAATCGATTGTGTACGAAAGTGACCCCCAACATATAACATTATGCCTCCTCCCTTGTGACTTATAACTCTATCACTTCTAATACAGATGTAGCCTGCAATGATGGGATAACAGTCTATATCTACGGTGAGCCAAGTTTTTGTGATAACAATTATATGGGGACTTAATTCATCCACCATCAAACTAAGCTCGGACGTTTAATTTCGAAGACTAAGGGCGTTCGTGTAGCACACTTTTCAAGTGTTTTCAAAACATTGACTTTCAAGTTCTGACCACCCGAAAACGCTTAATCGTAAGGTTTGTATTCGTTATTAGTACTGCTCTAATAATTGACCTAATCCTAAAATTGTAGATTAGTCATGGTGTAACTGCCTAATCAATAAGTTCTTAGGTGAAAATCACATCACCGCCTACGCCAACTCATCGTATCGTAACAATGAATATATGGTGACGAACACATTTTGGCTGGAGATAGAACAACATATTTAATATGGATAAAACATTATGTTACAACACTCAAGAGTGACCGCGCCTGAGGGGCCAAGTCATGCCATCCGGTCAATTCAAATTAGCCCAATTCATTGTTCCCGCCTTCTTCACCGTCGAGTTTTTCTCTGCGTTAAATGTCGAACATCTATTTTCCCAGTTGTCTCATGTTCAGCTTTGTGGATTGTGTGGTTAGCGCCCAATGCCACCACAGCTTCAGTTCGCCGTTTGGTCTTGGTGTTCTTAACTCCGTAAGGGCATTCTTCCACTTGATTCGACCCTCAAGCCGCAAATTTGGTCAAGCACGGATAGTTAAACCGCGAGTTTTGTATGCGTTATTCAATATTACGTCTCTGTAATCAAAACCATCATCAAGACCCTCTTTGATTGCGTCTCTCCTCCAAACCATTCATCGAGTCTTATTACTTTCGTGATTCGTGCCCCTGAAACCTCTTCAGGCAGCACATTTCTGACGACAGATTCCACCAACTCTAGATCGTATGCATGTCTTAGCAGGGTTGTTATCTTTTGACTCCCCTAGGTTCCAAATAATTAAACTAGGAACGCGTTTATACTCTTTGGAAGTCGTCTTTACGGATTTCGACCGTGATTTCAGACTTCGCTTGTTAAACTCTGGCACATTACCGCTGGTTTCTCTTGTAGTATAGTCGTGGGAGTCGAGCGAATGACTCATGACAATGTTTGATCAGGCCAAACTTCTCCCATCTACGTTAGGGTTAAATATTGTCGTACCTCGAGACTTTGGCGGAGTAATCTGTGATGCGGAATGTGAGTCTATCAAAGGTTTTTCGACTAGACGGGCGCTATTTTTGGCTATCTTCTCTTCTGTGTTTCCGCGTCATCCATTTCCCTTCAGTTGTAGCATCCACTTTAGAACTACTCTGGAAGATGATGGTTTTGTCTGGGTCATTTGTCGCTGCTGTAGCAAATTGTGCATCGCTATCTAATGATGTATAACTCGTTAATTGTTTCGAGATAGAAAATCCTGTTACGTCTTTTACAGTCGGGTGTCTGGCAAGTGGCGCAACAGCACTTACAACACTGTCATATTCTTCGCTATCAGTACCCCTGTTACCGATACAGCCCTCGTAAACCTTCTCATCAGCTAACACCAGATGGCTAATTGTCTCTTGGATGAATAATGTTTTGTTCGAACAGCAGAACATAAAAAAACCAATATAAGTTAAGCTTTGAGCAGTGGAATTTAAGCTGGTACGCATCATATAGAACCACTTCCTCGACTCAGCACATTGCATCCCTTCTTTCTCACGGAATAATCATTATGGCTGCCCACTTTTATGAGCAGAGCCGACCATCTTAAAAATTACCTAAAAATGGCAACACAAAAATGCATACGTAAAAAGTTCCAAACCTTAACCAAACAAATCAAGTCAAAGTCGACCAAGTATGGTTTAATGCAACAAATACACAAAGGCAAAGCCAATACACGAAAGTAAAGTACTACTTTAACTGAAATGAATTCAATTAAAGTGTAAACAGTAGTCTTGCTGCGCAATTTACGATGAAAACAGTAAATTCAACTCAACGAGGAATAATACCACTGTCCTTTTTAAATGGTGCGCGAATCATCACATCATTAATTTTTTGGAATCTGTTAAATGTAGATCTGGCAAATAGTCGCAATATCATTATATAACGCCATAGTAAGTCCTGTCTTCAAAACAGGTACGAAACATAAACCTGAGAATTACCAACCCGTGAGCCTAACTATTGTGGTTGTTAAAATCTTAGGAAAGATTATTCAGAAGGAGCTATTTAAGTACCTCGATGAAAACCGGATCCTTTCGGAGAGGCAACATGGTTTTAGAATAGGTTGTTCTTGTCTCACTAATTTATTAGTCGCTCGTGAAAGCTGGTGCGCTCTTAAGGACCAAAAGTTACCTGTAGATGTAGCCTTTGTAGATTTCAGCAAAGCTTTTGACAAAGTTCCGCACAACCGGCTGTTACATAAGTTAAGAAATGTCGGGATTGAAGGCAATCTATTGATGTGGATAAAGAACTTCTTAGTTGGGCGTCAACAGAGAGTAAGTGTGAACTCAAAGTTATCTAGCTGGGGAACTGTGCTTAGTGGAGTGCCCCAAGGTACAGTTTTGAGGCCAGCGCTATTCCTCTTGTACGTAAATGACCCTCCTCGTCTAATATCATCATCGATCTTGCTATCTGCTGAGGAGGTCAAAATATGGAGAACGATACGAAGTAAGGGTGATAGCTTAGAACTCCAAAATGACCTGAAGAAATTATCTGAATGGTCTCAAACCTGGCAGTTGCTAATAAATACTTCCAAGTGTATTGTGATGCATATCGGTCATTAAGGTACAGATATATACACGATGAATAAAACTGAGCTACCTGTTGTCCAGACACGCAATGACTTAGGAGTCATGGTTAGCCAAGACTTAAAGACTACTGCACACTGCCGTGCAATAGCCGCCAAAGGTTTTGGAAATTTATGGTCAATACGAAGGGCTTCTAGTCACGTCGAAGTCAAAACGTTTTTGACTTTGTATATAGTGTTCGTACGCCCTAAAAGTGAGTGCTGCATACAAGCGACTGGCCTCTGCTTAAAAAAAGACAGTGAACTTTCGGAAAAGGTTCAGAGAACAGCAACTAGGCTGATTCCCGGAATAACGAATCTCCCGTATGATACTTGACTGGCCAGGCGAAACCTATTCCCGTTGTCATATCGTAGAACTACAGACGGCTCGATCACAGTTTTAAAATTGCTTAGTGATAAATTTGCACCTGATATATCCCCATTTTTCTTGTCTCTCGAAGCATAGAATTTACGAGGACACTCCAAAATACTTCACAAGCCCAGGACAAATTACTTGCCAGCTGACATCAACTTTCCAATCGAATCATCAACGAGTGCAATTCATTACCTCAGCACGTCGTTGAGGCTCTATCCGTCGACTCTTTCAAAAGAAAGTTGGATCAACTGAGAGACCACCATTTCCAGGACTAACACAGACCAACAAGCCTCCTGTCCTTTCGAAACTGAAATTTATCATCATAGATTTGTCCTGTACCATGGATCGTTATCATGGGACCACTTTTGTTACTTTAAGAATGAATGTTACCGGACATAGTGTGGCTGAACTCAAATGTCTTGATTTAACCGCTTCTGCAAAACCATACGGATTGTCGAGGTGACGCACCAATCGTTTTACGACACTTTGACCTTCAAATGCTCAGTAACCTCCAACGGTGGACGATAACACTGAAGTGTTGCCTTACTTGATTTACTAACAGTGGCTTTCATTTTATGTCCACCTTTATCCTACAGGTGTTCCAATGAAGGTGAGATATTGTTTTAGACTGCGATAAAAATTCTGAAGGTGCGTGTGATTTACGACTTTGTTGCTCAATGGAGTGGTGAATTAACTGTTTGTACTGGAGAGGAACTCACAATCACAAATCAAAATGTCGGATCAGGGTGGTGGCAAGCGGTCAATGCGTTTGGAAAAGAAGGTCTCATTCCATCAGAATTTGTTGAAATTATTGAGTTACCAGAACCACCAGTACCACCTCCTCCTTTACCTGCTACTGAATTTGGGAAGGAGATCGATCGTTGTGATGAATGGGATGATGAGTGGGATAGTGATGAAAATGATATTCCCAGTTCGGTATGTTGATTATTTGATGTTTCGTCAGCATTCCATAAGCATAAGTTAGCGAATCGTTAAAAGCCGAGGATGTCAAGTTATTTAGCTAACTTTTCATATCATTCACTGTTATATGCTTAGGTTTTTTGTTATGTATAACTCGTAGTTTTAATATACCAAGCCAGCAGACGAGGTAGTATTTCCTTTTAGTGGGTAAATTTTCCAGAAAGACGTACCTTAACGTAAAATAGCCTGCCATACCCAACATTACACGTTTGATTCGTAAAGGGTCTGATACACAGAGTAGACCAATCTCCAAGGCGGATAAGTGATTGTGTGAACCAGTTATTTAGGTCCCTGCCTCATATTTCGAGTTGAGGGCGTTACAAATCAGAGACCATGTATGAGATAACACCTACTGTAAAAATGTGTAATAATGCTTATGGAGTTTTTGTGTCATGAAAGGTACACAAATTAGGTGCCTTTCCCAATGTTACTTTTCTTGCTTAGGCTATCGGAATCAATTTAAATCACGCTTTTGCTCTTTACGTGTAGAACAAAAATCCGAATGACCGATATCAACAGCCAGTTGAATGTAGTACATCGCAAACCGGAGGCAAGCAGACGGACCCCTTACTGTCTGCGTCTAATAATGTTGATTACGTACGCAACACACTTATACGAAAGTTTTTCCACAGGTTAGTTCCAACTTTTCAATGTACTTCCATTTGATCATGTACTGACTCAATGCCTCCATACAAATTTTGAAGATAATTCATGTTAATTAAATTTAGACTCAAGATCTTTACCACCCAAAAGTTTTAGCCGAGCAAAGTCATTACGAATATCTTCAAGGTCACTAGTCTTTGGTATGCAGTTTGGAAGAATGAGGGGTTTGCATTTAAAGTCCGTGAGTGAGTGGGATAGATGATCCTAATGAAATCCGTGTACTCATTTTTGAGCTACACTTTTGTGTGTGTGCTAGTAAAATCATCTGTACATCGAAACCAAACTAGATGGAATGTGGCTCAAACATATGACCCATTGGTTGAAAACCAATTACCTCAACCACATTCAGTTACCCATTAATAATTTTCTAAACCAACAATATATATTGAGTAAAGTTGACAGATTGTCGTCCTTCACTAACCTTGCTTTTTAATGCTCTTGTTAGATATATGGTAATTTAGCGGCGTCTACTGAACTGATATATGGTCGGGAAGTGATCGCGTCTGGCTTTGAACACGAGGAGCGGAGGCAGTTTAAAAGTAGGCTGGTAGAACGCATGCGCAATGACCGTTTGGAGTTGTGGGTAGTGAAAGCAGAAGAGATGGAAAGGGCAGTAGCGATAGGTGATAGCAGACAACTGTTCAGATCTAGCAAGGAAACGGGTATTAAAAATTTAGCTGTTAGTATGGTTATAGTTCACTCTCGATCCAGGAGACTGAATCGATAGATAGAAATTTTGGGGAACAGTTCAAGTGGCCTTCAGCCACACTTTAGTGACCCACGTTCTCCAAGCAACCTAAATGGCGGATCGACACAAGTCCTCCAACTATAAGTTAGGTTGAAAAGGCTATAAGTAACCTAAAGCGAGGAAGAACAGGAGGCTCAGATGGAGTAGTCCCTAAAAGCTTTGAGGATGGTGGTCCAGTTTTGGCAGTTAGTGACAGATCTTAGCTAGAATCTGAGATCTGAATGTAATCCCATTTGACTGATCATCCCAGCCCGTACAAGACACAATTCCTGGTGTAATAATCATAAAGGAACCAATCCGACTAGCATGGTATCTAAAATAACCTCAGCAATACTCGAATACTTAATTAATGCTCGTGAAGAGCGAGTTCGAGAAATCGATTCTGGTTTCAGACCTGGGCATGAGTCTATCGATCAAATATTCACCCTTCTCTAGGTCCTGGGAATTAGACATACTTTCCGACATCCGACTATAGTTGTATTCCTTGACCTTAAAGGACCAATTAACTCTGCTGGTCGTAAGATTTGGCAGCTGTCTGCTATTGGATGACTTACCAAAAAAGTACGTCAACACTGTACAGGCTCTCTACTCGAACATTACTGCTTGGGTCAGAATTTATAGCGAACTGTCATTGGAATTGCTTATTTCAAGTGGCGTTAGTCAGGGTTGTCCGCTTTCCTCATTCTTATTTGACTTTGTCATAGATATGCTTCTAGAGACAACACTTTCATCGTCTGACTTTTCAGGTGTTGATCTCCCACTAGGAAATTCAATTGTTGACTTGGAATACGCAGATGATGTAGTTCTGTTTGATGATGCTGACGAAATGCAGTCTTTAGACCACTTTAATGAACAATGCAAACATGTTTGAGATACGATTCTCTCCCTCCAAATGTAAGGTGTTGCTTCGGAACTTTTCTGGGTCATCGAACTGAATTAATGATAAGGAGTGAGGTATCTGAACGTATCTATAGCTTCGGTTACCTGGAGAGTCATCAGTCCTGATAGTCTGGTGGTGTCCGACAAAACTTCGGCACGGATTCAGAAGTCTCGACCGGCTTTTGCCAACTTGCATCATTTATGGGATAGGCGAGATATCTGTCTTTCAATCAAAGAACGAGTTTACTGCTCAGAAATTTGCTGCGTCCTACTTTATGGGTTTGAGACATGGTAATTTAGAATAGAGAATATTCGTAGATCACTAGTATTCGATCATGAATGTCTTCGAAGCATCACTCGTGTAATTTGGGACCGAGTAAGCGATGTCGAGGTTAGGATTAGGGAACTAGGTAAATATGGGAAATCAATCAATGGGGTAGTAAACCTTCATCAACTGAGATAGTTGGGACATATGTCGCGTTTGCTTACTGAACGCCTATCTCCACGGGCTATGTTTTCTAGTGTAGGAGTAGGCTGTTAGGAAGTTAGGGGTGACCAAACCAAAACATAACATCAGTCCATGAAGTCAGTGGCAACTGGATTGGGCCACGTTAATAGCTGTAGACTACCTGGTTTGGATCCACGTGATATTCGTAAACAGCACATTATGACAGTCCAGTTTGTGCATCATTTTTTGCATTTGTTTCACGCATTCACCAATCAATTCTTTGGTTATCGACTTAAATGCCAACGTATTTTTTAAATACTGTAATAATTTCTCAGTGAAACTCACGGTTCAGTTGACCGGACAAATTGTACTGTCATATATTATATATCAGTGAGTTTTAGCTAAGATTGAGTTAGATGATTCTATCTGAATTAAAAATGTGTTCATTTTGATGTACTGAGTCTTTGCATTATAACAATAAATTCATATAAAAGCTGTTGTATTTTTTCTCATTTTCATTTTAACATTTCTTTGATCTCATCATAGATCATTCATCCGTAATGGTTGTGAAGATTTTTTGTTGGGTCTCGATCCACCACCTTTTCCTCAAACCGAAGCTAATATCGATGTCAGTTGATAAGTAATGTAGCTATTTTCCAATTTGTTTTTGTGCTTTCTAAAAAATAGACTTCCAAACTTAGTTTGCATTTTCAAATTCAGTGTCAAAATGTAAGATGTAAGGGTATCTTGATAGTATCAAATTGGGTGATATATGTCATTTGGTGTTGTATACATGCCCAGAATTTGTTTGTTATAGTGTAGAAAATCAGAAACCATCTAGTAATCAAGAATTTCAAAGTTGGTTCTCATGACTGAGTTGTTAAATGTTAACATGCTTGCTACATGGCTGATAAATCCCCGAGTACAGGGTGTGTAAATTTTCTAGGTATTCTCAATTAATATACAACATCTATCTAGTTTTTAATAGATTTCTGTGATATATTGATTTTCTATCATTTAAATTACACTGAATCTAGCTAGACCATCATTGAAAAACCGTAATCACTGGACGGCCATTCCAACTTAGTATGGGACTCCTTAACAATGTGCACCCACGATCTCACTACAGAAGATCAAACACAGGACCTTAATTCTTGCTCGTGAAAGCAACATCTCTAGGTCATTGAGCCAACATCCAGTGGTGTTAATGTTTGTCGAGCTCCAATCACTTCATGACATTCCGCAACCACCTTCCATTACCTACAGTTGATAGGTGTCTTACACACGACATGATTGAACTACACTGGTCGATGCGTCTCTAGGATTACTTGAGTTTCATCGAGAATGTAGTCACTGGCGAGCACATGGTTGTCGTTAGTGTAGGGGAATTCATGGGCGTGTAGAATTTTTTATAGTTTGAATCGCAAACTTTTCTTGACTAGACCTCTATTAGAAACTTTGAAGTACTAAATGTCAGTTTCGTCCTAGTATTTTACTCTTTAGGACCGGGATTTGTGGAGAAAACTTACAGGTCACAACTCAGTTATAATTCTAACCCTAGACATTCCTAACTATTATCACATTTCAAGATTCATTCATATTATGGTGAAACCGTTCATTCATAGTTTCTACTATACTGTTAACTGTTTTATGCTTCTTATAAAATGTACCTGCTAAATTAAGAACGCTGACAATCAGCAATATAAATTTAGGAAAAAGTATAGGAAACACTAATTGTAATAGTGAAAATATTTCTGTGTATTTTTATCCTCATAAACTGTTTAAGTCTATGATGTATGTAACTATGACTTATTAATTGAACTAGTTGTTACATGCTTAGCTACGTAGGTCATTACATTCGATGTCCGTTAATTTAGAACTGGAGTACAAACGATTGCAAGTTGGTTAGATCAGAACATGACATGCAAACATTTGTGTGCGTTATTTATCTCTTTCATAGATTGTAAACATACCGCCGTTGGTCACATAAACTTGTTTTCATTTTATAGGTTTAGTTGTCCGTGACATTTGAAGTGCTGTTAATAATTCAGAGCTTAATATGTTTATAAAGTAAAAAATTAGCTCTCGTAACTTACTGAGATTTTATATTGATAAGTTGAACCGACATGTCAGTTTAATACGTTTTACGCTGTATAATATTTGTCTATTCTAGCCATTGAAAGTTACATCGCCTGATTGTTTTAGCATTGTTTTCTTTAGAAAAATGATACAAATACACCACTGTCTTTTTTGGTAAATTTATGGTGGAAGTGAGGCGGTTATCACCAGCGAAATAGAATAATCTTATTTTACGAACTCAATAAAGTCAGGAATATCAACTTTGTAGATTCCAAGTCAGTGGTCTAAAGTTACCTCGTTCACCACTACAGCAGATAGTCCCGAGTCCGAACGTATGTGGCGCCTTTCATTGTACACACTATTGATGAATCACAAGACATAGTCAAACATCTGTTTACTGCACCTTGGATTCTAATAGTTCTCTATCTAATGTCAGTTCGTGTTAGGGAACTAATTTCCGATTTTGTAACCTTTAAAACCCTTTTACCATTAAACTTGATGGATTAAATTTTACAATTTTATTGCGTATGTTTCGTTAAGAATATATAAATTCTTATGCTAAATTTTCAGTAAACATTTAGCATTAAGTTTTCATTATCCACAAAAAAGTAATTCAAATTTAGGTTTCTGAATTGATGTTATTTGATTAGATTTGGTGCATGGTGTTCACATAAGAGATGAAAACCAACAGTAACTAACCGTTTTTTATAGATTGAAATAAAATATATTGCGTATTTTACTTCTGTCTAATTATCTGGTTTCATTTATTTTACCCTCATTTCATTTACTGCTACTGCTTTTCTACTGTAGTATGTAGATGATTCTTTCCAATGGCGTCACTTGTCAAGAGATCTCACTAGCTGTATTTCATCGTTTCGTAAAGATTCAAAAATGAAGGGGATCAAAAGTTTTATCGCTTATCAAATAACTAATTCAGTAGGTTTTTTGATTATTTCTTATTTATCATATATATATATATATATATATATATATATATATATATATATATCAAAGGAATAACTGTGTTGAATACATTGATTTACACTTGATTATGCTTAGTTTCCTTATCTAGGTTATATTTTTATGGCTTGCTTATAATTTTGAAATGGTCAGGTCAGAGACATTAAATATGTAACCTAATCTCGAGCTCCGAAATTATGGAACTAACTTGTACAACTTCATGTATTTAGTTTAGCTTTTCATACAATTTTGTACATGGAGTATCTGAATCACACTTATTTTTTAATGGTTCCAACTCGGAAATGAAATTTTTCACATTGTAATCGAACAGAGGCGAGTGTGACTTTCGACAGTATAAAGTTCTGATTGTTGTATTTTCTAACCAGACTTAAGTTGAAGTACTTCACTTGGTCCATTTACAACCATTCAGCTCTAGTGGAGGAATCGGAAAAGTGTTAAAACATTCTCATGTAGACTATGTACAATCTTGAATGTTTTCACTAATTGTATCTCCTTTGTTGTTTGGATTATCATAATACATATATTTTGTTCCCTCTTAGATCTTGGTCAGATGTGGTAAGACTGGAGGGAAGCATTGTGTCCAAGAAATAATAAACATTGGAAAAACATAACAATGTGCTTGGAAAATTTTATTTTAGTCTTAGCATCTTGTCTAATCGCGGATTCATTCTCTATAAAAATATTAAATCATATTAGATTTCAGGAAGCTGACTCTCCCTTTGTAGTTCCAATCTTCTTCATGCGGCTTCATAACTTAAGACTACTGCTACTTGACTAACTAGCATGGAGCTTACGCCAGAAAGTGTTTACTGCAGACTCATTCCAACAATAACATACTGCACATGATATCAAGCCACACTAGTGGCCACATTTCCTAGCATTATCTATAGAATTCGATCATCACTAAGGGACTAGTGAACTATCACGAAACTAGTCACTACCCACTCATTGATCAGTTAATTGTCAACGGGCGTCACTCAGAAGTATAGCTCAAAGTTGGGTACGTACTTCCCTATTCTTGATAAACAAGTTGCCTTGAGCTACCTGACTGACCAAACTGAACTAGTTGAGATGAGGTTTGCATCCAGAATCTTAGTTGTAAACCGAGTGGCTGAATCACTAAACCATAAAGTTTTATATGCACTAATATTTTTATCGCTTACGTGTGCGTTAATTCACACTTATTAAATAATGAGAAACGAATGGATAACCTCACACAGGAATAAGAGGAAAGACTGTTTGATTAATTACCCGAATTATGTATATAACTGTTTAATTAATAAGTGACGCGAAAAGTGAAAGTGTGTAGGATAAAGCTGTGAAGTATAAGAGCGGATTAGTCAGGTTTAAGAACGCGATTTCGGTATCATAGCTTTAAATTCAAACAAAAATGTTGACTGTTGATCGAATGCTTTTTAATCTTGACGGTAATATAATAAAAACCATTTTATATTGTTTTAATCGAGAAATAAAGCCACTAGGATTTAAACATAAACGTGATCAAGTTATATTTCGATACCGCTTTTGTATCGTTTTCAGAAATCTAAAAGAGGCTGACTCATTCTTCACTCTCTCCAAAATGACTTATATAAATAAAACATTTAGTCATAAACCGGATTATGTGAATCCCAGTAACCAGTACAATTATCTTTACAGAGGTACGTGAATTAACAGGATCTTTGAGGTTTAGGAAATGGTCATTGGAATGTTAAAAAAAATGGTAGATTTCCACATTAGATATCTCCATAAATAACACTTCGAAGAGTATACCAGATAGACTAGCTTCAACCTTGCTTCCTAACTTTATGAAAAACGTCGGGTCAAGAAAAAAAAGACAACTATGGAGTGTATAACTGCCTTCTGGGATTTAAATACGACCATCACGTTTTTGTTTTTGTTCAAAAGCTCATCAATTTGTGGACCATTTTACAGGGTTACATGTGAATAATCTCACGATGATTTGATCGCGCCTGACGAATTATCTCCTTATAAATATCGACAAAGAAAACCTATTTTCTTCTGACGTTCGGTTTTGTACAAGACACTTGTATAGGTGTAAGGCAAAACGGGGAGTTGTTATTCTTTGTCCGATTGTATTACAATCCTGTGGTTATTATCATGTTAATTTTGTCAGTTACATTGTTCAATAGTTTGGAATGATAAGTAAGATGTATGTCAAGGGAATGCTGTTGAGATCGAAATAGATTATTCCGATGCGTTTCGCTAACATCAGATTCGTAAGCTGTACCTAATAAATGTAGATTAGTTGTTGCTTCTTGACATGGTTTAATGGGCAGTAGTTCACTCTGTTCTACTTTATGGATATGAAACATAACCGTTATGAAAACAGGATACTTTTAGTTTACTAGTATTCGATCGTGAACGTCTTCTAAGGGTTCCTCGTAGATATTGGGACCATGTTTTGTACACATTATTTTATTTTTCTACAAACTGTTTGTTCTGATTAGGGCTGAATAATTACTGAGTTGTGAATGATTTGTTTAATTAATGTGTAGATTTTCTACTTTTTTTGTCTACATGTGTTTTTAAAAAAAACAGGTTACTCAAACTCAAGTCAGTAGAAGATATAAACATTTTGATTGGCTTCATTCACGTTTATTATCAAAATATCCATGTATTTGTATTCCACCATTACCGGAGAAGGCAATCACAGGTAATATATAACTATTACAAACTTGTTGAATGTTCGGTTAACTGCTTTATTTGTATACTTTAGTTAACGGTTAGAGAATCATACTCAGAACATGAGGTTTGTCAGAATCGGTTTATCTATTGGTATTAAAACACCTCACCCTTCGTATTTTTAACATCAGTCAAATGATAAGGTTTTCCAACTCATCGTCCACATTTTTGTTACAGTACAACAGTTGCAGATATTGTGATATATTACTCTATTGATATTCAGGAGACTAAAGTTGAATAATTTACTTCATTGTGTATTTTTACCATATAGATTGGAGGATGTTTTTTTATGAAATTAATCAAATCTCTTGATCATATGTGTCACAGTAATAGCACATAAATAAACTACTTTTCTTGGTAGTTTTCTCTAAATACACTTGTTATTTGCTTTATAACACTACTTAGAATTGTTAAACCAACACATTTGAGTAAAAAATACGAGCCCAGGTAAGCTAAAACAAGCTACTGATGATTGACAAATAAGCTAAGTATTTCATGCACATAATCCCCTTCATCAATTTTCAGAGAGTAAAATCAAAAACTTCAACAGAATATTGTGAACTCATTTAATTGGTTTGGTTCTCTTTAAGCTGTAATATTTAAAAATCGTAGTGATGAATTGGGTTCAAATTATATATATATATATATATATTGATGTAGTTGATGTAATCATTACCATGACAAGGATTTGGAATGATGACATCGGCGTAGACAATTATCGATTTAAATTATATCTTATTTCTACCATTCTCAACCTGATTGCTTTATAGTATGCAACACACTGAAAATGATTAGTTTTCTCAGATCTATATATGAAGCTACACAACTATAACGAATAATTATCAATTCAATTTTCTCTGTTTATTAGACATTGTTATTTTCTTAAGTAATTTAAATTACATGAGGTGTTGTCTAAACTAGGACTTAAAAACAATACATACCCAATTATATATATATGGGGACCTATTATTTATTGAATGAATTTTCAGTGAAAATAAGTTGATCATCTAAGTTATTTGTCAATTCTTAAATAATTAATTAATTATATACAAACATTTCTACTTATATCGTCATATTTTTAATTGAATAGTTTGTTCATATTGAAATATTGTTTTGTTTATCTGAACATTTTTTACTAAACTTATTTAGTTTATTTTTAATTTTTCATTATTGTTCATTTAATTTAATTAAACTTTCATAATTTTGATATGATACACAAGTCACCTTTTGGTAAATTTACCTAACGCTTAATAGATCCGATTTAACTGGAAAAAAAGAAGATAATTACTTGGAAAATGATTCGAACAAAAAAAGAATGTTTACGGTATGTATTTCCACATGTACAAAGTTAAAGGGATGACTAGGTGGATATTAAATAATTAACTGCTGGATCCAGTCAGTTGCAACTGATTGTCATCTCAGTATTCATATTCGGTGGAAGCATTCAACTTTCGACCAGGCAGTGACTCGAGAATGTTTAGATAGAACAGAGTTTCCACCATGGGCGAGCTGCTGTATAAGTTGAAAAATGGGGATACATGAAGTGAGAATAGAGGTAGATAAGTGACGTAGTGTATAAAAAATAGTAATAATAATATTAATAAGTGAATATGAAATGTCTGAACTCTAATTGGAGCAAACATAGTCTTTCGTGAAATAATTGTCATCTCATCAGATTTTTGTGAGGGCTATGCTACTGCCCGGGTGCCCAGACCGAAGCAGGTGGTTTTCTTAGTGGGCCACATCCCGAGCCTTTGACCCAAAGGTCTGATCCACAAGGCAGTGGAGCATCGTAGAGATGCAGTCCCATGGTAGTAGATGACCACCAATTGGTTCATACACTGTTGGTTTGAAATCAGGGTCTCCCAACCCCCTAGGTGGACCCTCTGTGTCCACCAACCCTGTTAAAGTGCCGGATTTTAGTTTTTCATCCTCTCAATTTCGTAAACAACACCCGTGGTGTGAGAAAGCAATGAGCAGGACTTCCCTGGCAGAGGCTATATGCGCGTGGCTATATGAGAGCATTTCGAGAGGGAGAGCGGACTTTCCCCACTCTCGGCCGTACCAGGGCATTTGGGGGCTGCAACTGGTTGACTGGCCTAAGATTGAGCCCTTTATTCTCAAATTCCTTCAACCAAGCTAATATTAACACTAGCCTGCACACAAAGTGTATGGTTTCAGTTCTTTTAGCTCTAGGACCTCCATTTAGTCACTATGTATTACATTTGAGGTACCCAGTTCAGACCAAACGATGATGGGAATTGTGCGTATACTTTACTCCTTATTTATCAATTGTCATTATTTGAATGATGAACATGATTTTCAATTACGTCATTTTCATTGTCATCATTTGAAATAACTATGATTGCTTTTTTTACCTCTGTTACTACCATTGTTTGTAAATAGATTTCCAGAGGATTAATTTATCGTTGAATTACAAACACAATCTCATGCTAAATCATTGTACGAATACAATGATGTTTGTTCACAGCAGATAAGATCCGTTTATTGTAACTTCCTTGCTTTCCTTATTGATCTGAATCCTTAAATTTTGATTGTTGTGTGGGAAATTGTAAAATAAAATTTTTAAGGATTTATTTCTGAAAGGGCAGATCCCTATTCTTTCATCCTTTGTAAAAGTTGACTCTATTACTTGAGTAAATGCACATATTTGTATGTAGCATGCTTCATGCCTTTCGGTGCTCATAGATGAAATAAAGTACTTCATATTTGAAAAGGAAATAAAAACAATTCAGCAAAGAAAATTTTTCTTCCAATGATATTTACGGAAAATGTACGATTAGTTGTATTTATAGTGATTTAATAAATAAATCTGGGAATGGAACCGAGAACTTTCGGTCTTACAAGCGAGCTCTTAATCTCTAAACCACTGGGATGGTATCGAACTGTATTAGTGTAGGTCCAACTCCAATCAGTTCACGATATTGCACAACGCTCATCCATTGCCCCTAGCGGATAACTGCCTTACACCCGACAGAAATGAAACCCACTGGTTACGGCTTCTCACTAGAACTCCATGAGTCACTAGTGAGCAAATGGTTATCATTAGTCTAAGAAGATTTATGGAGATTTTAGAATTTCCACACTGCTGAGGAGTCCCATACCAGAACGAAACACCTATTCAGTGCTTCCAGGTTTTTAGTGGTGGCCTAAATAAGATCAGTTCCTAATGTAAACTACTAAAAGTATATAGTAGCCTACTGAAAAATAAAAGAGATTACATCGCCAAGTGTTCGGGTAAAAGTGGTTGGATACTGGTCTGAAGGGTAATTTGTGAATCAGGAGTTCAAAACGTAACCTATTTTCTACATGGTGAATGCAAAAACATGAGGCCCAAAATCTGTGTAAACACTTGTTCAATCTTTCTCGTAGTCTGTTTCTATGTCTTTTTAATCAGCCGTTACTACCCTCTTTCAAGTTTCCATATTTTTTATTCAGTTGTTGTGATCATCGCATTTTACATTTCTTTATATCTGTCAAATGGGAATTTATCATTATTTAAACCATCTCGTAACACTGCGATGTAATTTCTTATTTTTTAATCGACTACTATGTATGTTTTCATATCTTACTTCGTAGACGCATCTCAGCCAGACAATCCTTAGAAGCCAAAAAGTACTGAACAGCCGTTTCATTTTAGTACAGGGCTCATTAGTGCACAGCTATGGCCCCATCATAGTCAGACTCAGGACCTTCTATCTATTTGCGAGCGTTTAAGCTCTAGACCAGTACTTCTTGGTTTGGAGTGGTTGTCTAACTACAATCCAGTTCGTGATGTAAACTATAGAGATGCAAACGATTATTCAGCTTCAGTAAACGATCTGGTTGAAAAGCATATTTTCTACTCTGAATTGTTTTTATTTCTTCAATAACACAATGGATGAATGCTTGTGTGTGTGTGTGTGTGTGTAACCATTTTACAATTATATCTCCCAATCATAATTTTTTTGCTTGAAATCAATCCATTAGCATCGAATTATTATTATTATTATTCGTTTGCTTCCTACAACTACCCCTGAATATCAGCATTAATTCCTTACTTATCCTCCTGTAATCATCTTTGTTTTATGCGTTATTATATTTTTAACAGAGTTCACAACTCATTGGGTATTATTATCATTAATCAAAGTTTCTATTATTATCCTGGAGTATTCAAATCTGATTAGTTCTCTATAAATTTCATACTAATAAATTGTTTATTTATGAGGGGGTATTATGTTTAAGTTTCTAACTGCGACATACATTTTTAAACTTGTTAACGAAGAACAATTTTTCGATTTTTATTTTGGTCGGTAGTATTTCACTATGAATTAATGTATGTAGTGAAAAAAGATTGCAATCCAAGAAGTGTTATACAGTTATTTCGTTATTTTTTAAATTTTCCTCCAGATCCTGAGATTCTAAATTTATCATAACTTTTTTTTTCTTATTCCGCTAATTTATATATTCTGGTATTTACCTGATGAATTCATCTCTCTGTTCTGACGAAGTATGACAAAATGAACCAATTTACATATATACCAGGTTCTAGGTTACGACTGACTGACTCGTTCTAGTAATTAGACTCTTCCGTAATCCGTTTTTCATTTCTCAATAACATATTAACTGACATTAGTGTGTAGCCAAAACGACTCGTAAATTGTATCAAATTCTCTAAAAACCAGCTAGCTGAAGAACTGAGGTCTTTCTTTTGTTATATTACTGAAGAAGCTTTGATTTTGCACATAAGAATGTGGACTAATCACATGAAGTCAGTCACTCAAAATTTTGTTATCAATACGATACAATTGCACAGTGAGAAAAGAAAATATTAGTTTATAATACAAAATAGTTTTTCACATGCATAATGATATATCTGTCTCATTGGGTGAGCAATCATGGGGTGCTTTTCAAGGGACATATAGAAATCCAAATTGAGATTTATCCACTCGGCTTTCAGTCGTATTGTTTGTTCAAAGGATTACTGATCCTGTCCGGTTACCCGTCCCAAAGTGGGTAGATGTGGCTCGAAACTCTTACGCTGTTGGTTGATAATCAACTTGTGTAATCATTGATTCACTCTTCAACTAGTCAAAAATACATTAATGTATGACTACATTTTTAAATTTACTCCTGTAACAATGGAAATACTTATGCGTCGTATTAAATAAATGTAACTTTCAATAATTTCAATACCTTGAAATCTCTCTCAATTACCTTATTTTTGCTACCTCATTATCAGGTCGATATGAAGATGACTTTGTTGATGAACGTCGTAAATGGTTACAACAATGGTTAACTCGCATGTGTAAACATCCGGTTGTATCGCATAGTTCAGTATTTATTCACTTTCTTACTTGCACTGATTTCAAGGTAAATCATTGTGCGTTATATATATATATATAAACATTAGATATTATTTATTTTTCAAAATTATAGACTAGTTTATTTATAAGTAGTAAAGGTTTGAATCATTCCGTTATTTCATATTCACGACTCAGTCTTTTGATCAGTTTTGTCTGAACTATATGTTTCCTGTGCAGATTGCCTTGATATACCTATTATTCACAATTTTTGTTTAGCATAGGTGAATTGTGACTAAGCAGTGGGATCCATGGTGTGCTTCTCATCTTACTTAGATTTGTCAGCTTGTGTTGATGTACATAATCTATTCGTTTTATTATTATTTAGAAATAAGTGTATGGTATATGTCATAATTTAGTGATATTTATTTTTATATTATCGTTTTATTGAGTTGAATATTCATTGGTTATAGGCACTTGAATTTTCAGCCGACTAGGTTCCAAGCTCAAACTCTGCTCTCTATTTACTTCTGTCTAAATGATAGCTTTACATACACACAAATAGTGTCTTTCCGAAAAAAAATAAGTTGATTCAAAACTGGTCTGCGTTGACAACTGAATTAAGGATAGGAAGTGAGTTAGTTAGGTGTCTCGACCATTTGACCTTCCTCAAAAGCCTCATCCACTATGCTGGATTAGCATCTAACGATGTGTTTAAAACCATTCAGAAAGCTCTTCCGACTTTTTTCAGCGTGCGTTACTGTTGCATATGCCAGATATCCATCTACCAATCAAAGGGCGAACTTAGTGTGCGGTTGTTCACTCTGTTCTACTTTATGAATATGAAACATAGCCATCATGGAAATAGGACATTTGTAGTTTACTAATATTTGATTATGAACGTCTTCTAGTCGATGTGGTTGGTATCATTGTGATTATTATAACTACTGGTCAGAGACTTGTGGTAATGTGAATCATTATCGTTCACAATCGTGGGTGTGCATTTGCTCCTTATCTTTCGTGAATCTTGAAATCTTTTAACTTTTCTTGTTTTTGTGTACCTAATTTATTCAGTACCACTTATAGTGTTGCTTCTTGTGCTACTCCGTAATTTGTCTTGGGATGATTTTATCTGCACTAGTCGTATGGCAACTTGAACTGATGCGCCTGAATCAGGCTCTGCATTGCATGTGACCAATTACCAAAATCAAGGATGGGGTCCCCTCATAGGAGGGATCACGTCAGTGCTTTAAACTTCAATGTCCTACTCCATAAGTCGTGGAGCAATTTTATTAACCACGAAATTGGATTCGTATCTTCTTCCTTCTTTTGTTAATGTGTTAAGACTAGCACGAAACCTAGTTCCGTAAATTTTATTGATTGTCATTAATCGCCTAGCATTAAACATAATACACACGATGTTGAGTCACTTAGAGTAGTGGCCACATTACTTCAACTTGATTGGTAAAATCTGATCAGAACATAAGACTAAACAAACTACATTGCTTACCGCTCACTAGTTAATAGTTAATGGATGTAAATGTGAATAATTATCCAGTAAAATGAAACTGCATAGGTTACGTGGTACACCTTACCTACTAAAGCGTTTGAAAATTGCCCCGAAATCTTAAACTTTACTACGATTAAAAATTCACCTAGTAGTGTAATACATATATGTAGCCAACATAATCAGTCACTCACGATCAGCTTAGGGTATGCTACAAATATGCATTAGTCCAAGTTGCTATATCACATTAACACAACAGGTTGAAATTAACAAGGAGGAATTAAAATAATTCATCAATGATTATAAAAAAGACTGAAGGTCGAATGTTTTTATAAAGGAATACTGGAACTAAAGATCTTGAATAAGACAGAAAGTGTATGCACCTGGTCTGTTATGAGCGGTTCTGAGCCATGTTACATAACATCTCTGGATATAAGTTGCGGTTATCGTGCATATCCCCCACCAGGTGGTCTAGATTTGCTAACATGGCATAGATCAACAGAGGCCCCCAAATGCCCTGGTACGGCCGAGAGTGGGGAGAGTCCGCTCTCCCTCTCGAAATGCTCTCACACGGCCACGCGTATATAGCCTCTGCCAGGGAAGTCCTACTCACTGCCTTCTCGTGGCGGGGGTGTTGTTTACGAAAATGAGACGACGAAAAGCGAATGTCCGGCGCTTTAACCGGATTCAAAACCAATGGTGCACATGGGCTCCAGTATCCTGAGGGAACAAATGGCGTATGAACCAATTGTTGGTCACCGGCTTCCATGGGACTGCATCTCCTTACGATGCTCCACTGCCTTGTGGATCAGACCTTCAGGTCGAAAGCTCGGGGTGTGGCCCCCTAAGAAAACCACCTGGTTCGGTTTGGGCACCCGGGCAGTATCACAGCCCTCACACATATCGAATGAGATTTGTGTGGCGCATATGTATTTGGTGCCTCTTCTTACCATTATGTATGTGTTGAAATAAATAGATAAATAAAAGATCAACGGTGGATGACTTCACAAAATAATGTCACCGTCTGGTTTCTTCCAATCTACCTGTATACCAGTCAACATCGTCCGTCGAGATAAGTAGCGCTTAGGTTTACATAACTTATTTCCTAACCATTTTAGTCTAATTCATTAGTAAAATTTGTGTATTGACGGGATACATATTGGTAAATTATAATATGTAGTTTTCGTTTATCGTTTTGTTGTATAACCTCACCTCATTTATTGTGTTTCCTTTAAAAATCTAGAAGTGGAAATTAGGCAAACGTGAAGCAGAAACTGATAAATTACAAGGTGTACGTTTTTATTTTGCAGTGGAATCAAGATGTGGACAAACACCTCATGACTATACGTGAGTTTTCATTCTGTTCGGAAGATCCCATTTTACCCAGTTTTGGTAATCTCAGTGTCAATTCTTACATGTAACGATAACCGCTATTGCTTTTTACGGATTGAGATTTCCTCACGACCCTCTTCCTGTTCTGATTAGCTGTCGTTACTTTTAGTTCGCTAATGTTTCGTGCCTAAAGGTCGTGTTTCTGCTACTGCATATACAGGGCTGTTCGGTTTCAGTTTCTCTTTGTTAAATATCAAGTTTCGTTTGTAACCCTCCCTTCCTCGGTCCAGCGTTAAGAATTATTATTTCAGTATATGTAGTATATAAGTCGCCTTAAAGTCATGTTCGCAATAGATTCCTTTCGTGTTGAAGTAATCTCAATCGTTTCTGTAAATTCATAATCACTGTAAGCCCATTTATAATTGTTTGTTGAGTATTCACATACTTTCCTTTTGTGAAATTTGTTAATTGCGTCTAGTAATAATGAGTCCAATGCAAAGTAACGATATTTAGAAATGAATTTACCAATCCCAGTATGATAATGATGACTTTTCATATTACTGAATGGTAGTATATGTATTATACGGTGTGGCTCAGTTCCTTCTTGTGTTTATAAAGCAATTTTGTTGTCTCAGTTTCCAGTTTGAATAATCTATTGTATGAGGGAGTGACTTGGATGCTTAGAAGCTAGTTAACCTAGCATATTCCTTTTTTGTTATAACCAAACATTTTTACAGGGTGCTTGCAACATTAAAGTTAATTCCTTTTTCTCTTCTCAAAATTATCTCCTGGTTTTATTCTCTAAAACCTATTCTGGTTCTAATGCAGTAGTAACTGTATTCGTCCGAAACTTGCTACCTAACTGTATGTATTTGTTACTGTTATCAACTTTTGAAATTCTTACCGAAATAAATTTCTGAGTAACAAAGGTTTCAGCATTTAAAGTCAAATTTCTTTTTCTAAGATACACATAAGATCCAAGTGTGCTAATACTTCCAAAGATGGTACAGGTTCTATACATTATAGCGTTTTAATGTTTGTGTATCCAGTAGCCAGTTCTCAATGATGGGCAAAGTAGGGACAACACCAAGTTCACATCTGTAAAGCTCAATAATCAACTGAATCCCACTTTTCATCCCATCTTCAGATAAACGTACGTGAACTACACCTTAGTTATATTCCAAACTGTGAAATCAACATCCAATCTTTTGTGGTTAAATGTCTCTCTCAATTGTTGAGTCATTCATACTTCCCATGAAAACACATGCGTGGTTAGGAATTACTGCCATATAATCGGATTCTCTAAACTGAATGGTTTAATTACGAAAATTTCATTGTTGTTTCAGATTGACAATTTTTCTAACTGAACGCTTGAATCAGTTTCCTGAGCTTCTCTAATTACCCCAGGCTAAATCTACACGAAAACTTGAACACGTGAGGAAAGTCGCTAAATGTGAAAAGAACGCTTTACTCTAAGATTAGTTTATATACAGGAAATCGGGGGTATTTATATCATTTCAGGTAGCCTTGGGCTTCTGAAAGTGTCTGCGACCATACTAAACAGTAACAGGATAGGTATTCATCCATTCAGAAATGTGACACGTGATACTTCACTCTGTAGATGTTTCTCAGAAACTCCTGTTCAATGCCCATTCGATTAAATGTTTCCCGGCGTTTTCAGGGTCCTTCTGGACTTTTCGAGGAATGCTTTGAATCCCCCAACACTTTTTGGGAAGTAGAACTTCCTCCTTGAGTCTACTTGCCTCATCCTATCTCCCACGAAACTGCTTTCATTATGGTCTGATAACAGCAAGGTGATTCTGTCAGACAACCAACATTTACTGGCATGTCGTCTTGCCAAAATAAGAGAGAAGTAAAATAGGTCGGTTCTACAAATACCACATCTCACTTTGCCCTATGAGTTTCCATCACCAGAAGTAGGACCCAACCTTTAATTCACCGCATATGACCGATGTTGTAATGCTCCCAGGTCGTCAAGACCTATGTTTTTTTCATGTGGTTTAAGAACAATTACCTTCTCATCATTAGGACAGGCTCGAAATGACAATCACCCCTATACTTTTAACATCTTTGGAGACCAAATTGTTCAATTTACCATCTTTTTCTCATTATAATATTCTCCTTTCTCTTATCCATCAATCTTGTTTTTTTGCTGTATTATGAAAATTCAGGGTTGAAAAAGCAGAAACAGCTGAGCGATTCTTAGCTGATTTGGATAGATCAACTAAATTTCTATGTGAAACAGTTGTTGAATATCATCGAAAATTAAGTATTAGTAAGCTGTTGTTTTCGTTGTATTGATGTGTTCTAAGAATTTATATTCATTGTATTTTTTTATTTTATCAAGAGCGCTGTTTATTAAAATAGTGTTTTCTCCAATTTTGAATACATTTTAAGTGTTTATTAATGAATTCTCACTACAAATGAACATTGGTATGTAAGAAAAGTTAGATTCCACTAAATTTAGGACTTTTCAACAATGTCTACACGTCGACGGTCACTTTTAAGTCAACTGATAAAAGTACTTATCGTAAAACATATCTGTTATTGTCTCCTTTATTGGTTACTTAGTTGCTTCCCTCTACTGCCTGGCACTATATTTTACATTGTAAGACTTTTTCTCATATTCCGTTTAAAATAACTCCAACCGATTTCGTTAATGTCATATCTTCTACTCTTGTACACCTTCAACACAACGCTTCATTCGACTCTTCCCAAATCGGAACAAAACTTGAAATGGAACAGTGTAAATTCTAGTAATCCCGAACAACAGAGTTTGTAAAGGTTATGCATGAGAATCTAACATCTTGATTCGTCCATCGGCGTTGATCGATTTCAAAATCTGTCAATCAACTTATGTCACTTTGAACCTGACAAGAATGTGGCAATTTCAGCACTCTATTTAGCTAACAGTCAGGAGGTGACGAACTTCATAATATATTTACTATCTTACCATATTTCATATTCATCATTATCCAAGCTGTTTATTCCAAAAAAATATTATAAATTCGTGCTTTAATTACATTTTATCACATAATACTTTTTTTACATAAATAATGTTGATTCTTTTCATGATGAATTCAAAAACCTCTCATATTGCCCACTTGACCACATCATTTGATTATTGAAGTTCACTGATGACCCATTCATTGAATGCCTATCTGACCAATGACTTCTTTGACCAATAATACAAATGACCGTGAATAGTGATGGAAAAACCATAACTGATTAGTTCACTTGCTTTTACACCAGTTACACGATCACAATGGACTAAAAATTAGAAATCAAAATATTATGTATAACTAAGTCATATGTGCTACAAAACTGTGTTATGGGTTCATAATTAATTAACAATAATTTGGAAATCGTGTAATAACAGTTATTATGAATGGATTGTTTAAAGTGCACAATAAAAATATGTATAACATTTTACTGTTAGACAGTTCCAAAGGTTTCATTTCCCCCATTTCTACTCTCTCCAGTCTCTAACTAATCATTCATTGTTGATTGTATCTACCAAAATATACGATAATAACATTTTTAGTCTTATCTATGGGTTGTTTCGTTTCTTGTGTTACATTCTCTGAACAAACATTATTTTACTTTTTGTGTATACAGATTATTTGTGTCATCCTTCATATTTGTTCATTAGATCTTTTATTCCCGTCTTCCTTCTCTCTCTCTGTGTGTATAGGTATTCGTAAAGAATTTTCCAAACTGTCAATGGCTTTTCTTAACATGAGCAAAGCTATTGAATCGGATGTTCATACAAGTACGATTGTTAGTAATGAGCATGAAAATTTAATTACCCATTTTACTTATTTTTTATTCTATTTATTGTTATTGTCATCGTTATAGCATAATGATTAATTAGAGAAGAGACTGTGCAATATTGTTTCTTCGATTACACTTGTCATCAGAGCTGCTCAGTCATATTGTGCTCATTAACATAAGCAAAAAAGGATGGGAATATCCATACTTCACAAATTCTTGACAATGACCCTTGTATTATTTATTCAAAATGTTTCCCTGTAGGTCATTTGTATACATTCGTTGATAACAATTTGAGTGATATCAGCAATAAAGACACCCACTGTAAATTCTGAGAATTCCAGTCCAATATTTGACAAATACAGTTCACACCTCCATTAACTGAATGATGAACTGAAATGTCAGTGCCTACAAAACGTTTATTTTATTAGTCAGTGACAACAAATGTATTGTGTTAGCGGAATTTTATGTTCTCTCTTAATCCTACCAAAATTTATTATAAGTATTCTTTTCAAAGATACAAACTCTTGATTCACCATTTTTACTAATAACACATTTGTTTAATAATTTTAAATGGAGCCTCCTGAAGTTTTAAAATATGTCGCATGACGTTTTCACAATTTCTTAATTAACTCACTAGTGTTTACACTGTAATTTCAGTATTAAATTATTGCCATCATCGTAATATATTAGTTAGTACTTCAATGGTTAAACATTTACTAACTTATCCTTTTAGACACTTTTCCGCACTCGACTAAAACCTTGAGTTTTATATGTCTTTTGTATATAAACTTTATTTGAATTTGAAAATTAGACAAGATAAATGGACTAACTACTCGAAGAATTACATCATTTATGAGTAGAATGACACTGGGTCTTTATTTAAAAGCCCAATTTTATATTCGTCAAGTGTTGTAGATTGTTTCCAACTAAATGGTCGTATATTTCTGTATGTGTAGCAAGTGATCCATATTATTGATTGGTTGAACAACGCTTAAATAATGCTATAAACTATTAATTGACTGACATAAAATCTAAGCTGTTTGATTTATCATGCTTTTGTTTTGATGATTTAATTAAAATATTTTTTACTATTTGGCAGACAATGAAATTCAAGACTCACGTAACTGTCCTATTTGTAATTTGTTACAACTGGATGTATCTGTGTCCCTGAGATTTGAACCTAATACTTTTTTTGCTTCAAACACGAAATCAGTATTCATTAAATTTATGTAACCACTAAATTGTACAAGCTCTTGCTAATCAATTGAAATAGTTTTATTAACATATTCACATGCAGGGAAAACACTTTATTTCCATTTCAGAACAATTAAATACAAAATTATGCGCCTCACTAGCTGCTACCGGCAATACATTCAGAAACGTATCATGTATCCATGCAATCCAGGTAAATAAGCTACTATTTTTTCATTCCTATTGAAAACGTTTTGCCGACATTAGTCTGATCTGTAGATTGTAGTCGTTTCAATCTGACCTCAGGTTACAATTGAAAATTTGGAAGTACTAAACAGCCGTTTCGTCCTAGTACATGGGAATCTTTAACAATATCTATGCATAATCTAATCAGGGATCAAACCAAGGACCTTCAGGTGTTTTGTCAAACACTGAATCATTAGAACCACCAGTTCAGCGTTTGATCGTACAATTCCGACTTTAATCACTTTGTGATACAAATCCATGATCATCTAATCATATTATTATATATTTGAATATCAATAAAGCGTTCGTTTGCAAAATTCGTAGTCTTCTGTTCTGGATAACCGGATAACATCTTACTAGCTCACACAGACAGTACATAAAAGACCTGTAGTTGCGAAAAGGAAAAACAAAATGTACGCTATGATTCAAGTTATAAAGATGACAAGTTTTTTCGACATCACTCATTCAAAATTGTCTTTATGAGTGAAGTTGATAGGAATTATACAAATAAATCCTTAAGTAAAAAGCATATATACTGTACACATTGATGTTATTAGTATAGAATAGAAATGAAAGCTACGTACTATTGTTACTTATTGACGCCGTACAAAATAGTCACTCTCAAAATCAGTTTCATAAGACAAATATGGTATAGAACCCAGTTAAAGGATTGTATAGATTGAGCAATGAACAGTAACCAATCGCACCATGTTAAAAATACTCAGATTATATGTAGAGAACAAGTAAAATGAGCCAGGCGATTGATAAGACTATAAGTTGTAACGTACTGAGAAAAATGTGTCAGTATAGGCGAATTAATCAAACCACAAAGTGTGTTCAGAGTTTGAACTTACAATTCACACAATAGTCGTAGTGATGAGAGACGCTGGATAACATAGACTGAAATCTATTGCAATGACACACTGATTCATTCTCTTTCATTTTTGAATTCAGTGTCATTCTAAACTTTCCATCCTAAGATATCGTTTATTCATTTCTAATTGGATTTCTCATGTCTAGATTTGCATTTGATTTTAAATCAGTTAGTCCCCTTTGATTCTCGTCTTGTTAATTTTCTGTCTCCGTGTACCTACTAGCGTTGCGATTCGAACCGACAACCACTCATGTCAAACCGAGGGTTGATAACTGACTGAATAGTTTTATACAGTACATACTTGCTCTACCAAAATGTACATAGTTTATTGCATGTTGTACTTTGTTGGATGGTTGGAGGTAGTTGACAATGAATACCTCAGTACTACAGGAGGTTAGTCGCATCCCATATAGATCATTAACATCTCAGACTGCGTAGCTGCATGACGTAAGTTCGAACCCCATTGGAAGCATCAGATCTCTCAAGACTATACATACGCTATAACTGACGAGTGCCATCTAGTACGACACTCAGATTAAACAGGGTTTTCTTGTCGACCATCTTTAACTACTTAACACTAAAACATGGTGTACGTAATTTTGAGTCAATTAGACTAATAACATTGTAACTGTATTGATAGAGTTCAATAAGTACTAGGGATTATATAAACGTGATATAAGTCACTTACTGCTCAGTGGATATTGGTCAGTTAATTGTAAATATTCAACTTTTTTGGTTTATTTCCAGTCAGAAGCAACAATCAATCTTCAAGAATGCTTAAAGGAATTCACTCGTCTACTGCCAAATACATCGACTATTATCAGTTTAGCTAAAGCTGCATGTCTTACTGTTGATGAATTAAATCGTTGTAATACCGATGAACAAAAAGTGTGTCAATCCGATGTGAATCGAATTCAATCTGGTGCATTGTTGATTACACGTTCTGTTCAATCTGAATGTAATTTAATTATGAGTCAAATTCGTGATGAATGGATGAATAAAATCAAAGACTATCTTTATGATCAAGCACGTTTTTATCATCAAATTGCGGAACAAATAGAACGGGCTGCTCAATCTTTTGAAATCGACTGATCTCTGTCTGTCTATCATATAATATATATATGTATCCGCGTATTAACACTCATAATACTAATATTAATATTGTTACTGCTATAAACATTTACAGATTCATCAACCATATATATATATATACTATTTACACTTCTCAGTTGTTACTTACCTTCGCACACTACTCTTAATCATATATTGTTTTCGTATTTCAATAATTACCCATCACAGAGCATTATTAACTCATCCCTTCTTGTTTGTACAATCTTCCGAAGTCTTTCCTTCCTTCCTTCTTTTCTTTCCCATCATTTCTTACTATCCATGCTACTTACTAGTCGTGTGTGATAATTTAGTATTAAGTTTCTTTCTTACTTTTGAATTGTTTTCTTGGTTAATTTTTTTTTTCTATTTGGTGATTTTTTTGGAAATAATTTTTAACGGACAATTATAGTGATTGATTTATTATTATTTTTTCTAAAATGAATTGTAATGTTTCATTATACCATACTACTTGTGATTCCAATGTCTTCCATTTCAAATTAATATTACAACATAGATACTAATGTTCTTTCTCATTTTGATTCTCTTTTAGCTTTTTAATTAGTATCATTTGACAAATATGTATTATACTTTATAATATTAATTGAACTTTGAACTATTTATCTTTCTATGTATGACCCATGCACAGAGATAGAAATATCTGACGATTGTTTTTAGTTTAGTTTTTTTTAAATGTGTGACTGATCTATTGCTCAAAATTTATATTTTTAAAAGCTAAAAGAATTCTACAACGATATGACTTGTATATCCTTCCTTCTTTCCATGTGTTTACTATTCAAGTTACTAGTTTCATTTTATAACATTGAAATTTATCGTATGGTTCTATTCCCTTAGAGTAGAGAATGGTGTAATTTCGTGCCTTAATAGGCTATATTTACCGAGTCCTATAATATTGCGTATTATTGAATAGTCTGAGCTAGATGATTTCATCGCGAGGCTTTCGTGCGCGTTCTGGACATCATCAACGCATCATGTAGAAGTGAATTTTCTAGTTATTTTACAAGCGTAAAATTAGTTTGTTCGTGTGCTCCTGTTTATGGCGGCTTGTCTTCGTGGGGTTTTTGTTTTGATTTCTCCTTATACTCAAGTTAACATGAATGATCCTAGTGCCATGCTTCTAGAAGTTTTCTGAGATTCCCGAAATTCCCTCGTTTCATAATTATGTTTTCTCAGTTGAATGCATGTCCGTGATTGTCTGTATGCATTGTTATCAGTTATAATATATCATGTTTTACTGAACGTGTCCATGTTTGTGCATGTAAAGCGGGCGTCTGACTTGTCGTTCGAATGCCGTATGCTGGTTAACTCCATTAATTTTATGCTCGTGTCTATAGTATTCTTTAGAAGACAAGCGGCGGTAACAAGAAATTGTTTGCAAATTCTGGCTAGTTTTACAAACATTTCTCACTGGTACATGTAGACAGTCTTCTATTTGGATTAGTTTAGTCCTTTTGTTTGATTCCCACTAGTAGTCAAGATGAGTTTAGAGCTTCAAGTTGTATTTTTTTAGTGACGTTCCTATTCAGTGTACTTTCCCATTTAATATAACTTTAGAACAGCTATTATTTCTTTCAAGAAATGGTATTGTTGAGATATCACAAGATTATCTAATCTGCTGAGATAGTATTCATTCAGATAATACTTTACAGTGCGTCATGATTATTACATCAACCTCCTTGTTTAGTTTACCATTTTTCATCATTTTATCCAATAAAATTATCAATACACTATTACACACACATCGATTAATAATTCTTAAGGACAGATTTGTGTCAGTCACGCTATCTCAACAACAATCTGTTGGTTAATGTATTCCAATGTCTCAGGCTAAATGTTTCCGAAAAGAGGGATGTCTTGAGTAGATGACACGATACCACTGTGTCTTAAACATCACAAACGAATAAGCAGTAGTTGATGGGTCATTGTAGATAGGTATCGTTGGCTATCCCAACATCAAATATTGAATTCACAAGTCTTGTGGTAAAGCAAATAAATTGATTGATATAATACTTGCTTCAGTTATTACTATTGTGGAAGTCCTCTATGTCAAATATTAAGCATTTTCTCACATTAAAGAACTATAAAGGGCCATTCTCTTTGGTGCCTTTTTAGTTATCAGTAGTTTCGGGTGAACTTGTAAAACACACCAAGGGGAACTGAATGCTGGTGAATGGATTTCATGTTCTGAATGATGTGATCAATTAATTATAAGGTTACTTGGAATACAATCAATATTTCAATTAGCACGATTTCGTATAAACAATATCGTGCTATTTATATAGTATACATTCTGAAAAGTTCTATCCTATTACAACATAAACACGTATGAATACATACCAGACCAGTTTTGTTTTAATTTATGTTGTGCATAATAGGCAACACAAAATATAACATGTTGTGCGTGCAATGAGAAAACCCACATTAAATCACCTAATTTACTATTCAGAATAAAAACGTTATTTTGATTTCAGAATAAATTTGACATGACGATTTTCAGTTTATTACTATAAGAATTTACAGCTGACACAAAACATCTTTGTATAACTTTTGCGAAGTAATACATCGCTTATATAGTGGCAAAGCTTCTGAGTTGATGAGTACATCTTTACTCAGTTTTAATGATCTTGATCTATAGGGTACAAGTCAAAGGCAACATGTCGGCTGATATAGTTGTAAATCATCAACGACTTGTGTAGTTGAGATGTGTTACGCATACTCGACTGCTTCATACCTTAATGGGCCGGTGTAGGAGGAAGCTGAAAAAGACTAGGGGTGGCGGCATCAGTCCATGATGTCACTAATAGTTGGCAAGTTCAGATTACCACCTAGTTGGGGTTCGCGTGACCAAAGGTTGGATTAATAATCCTATATTTTAATGCAGCTAAGAGAATTCTTCAAGAGCGAAATACAACAACTTGTGTCTTATCAACGATCAAACGAACTGAGACTAATTTCAACCACAAGAGTATCAGTCTTCAAAGATATTCAACAAATATGGGATAGAAAATAAGTGGGACAACTTATGTAATTGAAGTACCTTTTTTAGGCCTTACGTACATTACAACTAAACACGTAGTAAACACGAAGTATTGATTCACAAAAAAATGAAGGACATCAAAGTGATATAAAAGTTGGTTTTAGTTTACAAAAGACATTACGTAGAACTAAATCGGCAGACCTTGTTTAGATTGCTCTTAGGATATCAGACTGTCTCGATATTCGAGGGAAGCAAGAGGAAATACTTCTAACATGCTTTAGTCCTAGGATTATTTAAAAAACCTAAATAAACACAGGGAAACACCAACTACATATTCAGATAGCTTTTGCGAAGGAAACATCACTGTTTTCGATAACTTAATGCTAAACTGGTATGGTGGCTCAGTAGTAAAGCCATTTGACTTTCAGTCACTTATTCAATTTGTGCCCCAGCTAATTCGGTTTAATCAACCAGTTAGTAGTGTCGTTCAAAGTCATACGTAAATCTGTACTTTGTGAACTGAGATTGAATTCAGTCGACCAGTGTTTATAATATAAGATAAAACTCCGACAAATATGTTCTAGTGCCGTGAAACCTGACAAAAGCCGATACATGAGTGTCAGCTAGTTATTATATTATATGGTAGGTTATTAAAAACCAGTAATAACTTCGATTGGTATGAACTTAGCTCACTTTTATGCTATTGGCAATAAACGTTTTGACTAGGTTCTCATCGTTTATACATTATGCATTTCACTGTTCATTCATTTAAGTATTACGTTTTCTCAGGTACCCATAGTAGACGGATATATTTTATCAGTTATCATAAGCTGGAAGAAACTTAACTATGAACATTCACTAACAAAAAATAGTCTGGTTTCCATAAAAAAACCACTTGTTGTAATTTGAAATTGGTTATTATGATAGCGGATTGCGAACGATCCTATGAGTATTGAACGTGATCTATGAGTGTTGGGGACGTTAGATCCCCAGAACTCACTTGAAAAAGGTCCTAACTTTGCAATTTTATTTTGAAATTATTTGTTCTCGCACCAAAAGCGCTCTCTTCACCTTCATGTCATATTTCCCACTTGGGAGAATCTTAAACGCTATTGGTCTGTTGTGTCTTTCAGTATGCTATTTTCTAACGCTTCCCAAGGACCGTTTTGTTCTGTATATATACGTTTTGATTCGTGTCTGTTGTTATCGCTCGCGCTTCTGGCTTTTTGCGGAATATACTTCCCCGTTCGAACTTCGACTTCTCTCTCTGGTTAGCGGGGCTGGGACACAACAGAATAGCTAGTTTATTGGTCTTTGGTCACAAGTCTTTGTTCCGTTCGCAGACTAACTGAAATAGTAATCGCTTCAACATAGCAGAGATGGTTGACACACTGGACGACTGTGATACGCAACACATTGCAATAATAATTTCCTGTACGATTGAAAGAGATGTCTGTTATAACAGGGGGTGTCCGAGATCTGGTGATACACATGTTATTCGCTAAACCCCCCAAATGACATGAATAAATATTCATTTGTATATATAAATCTCTACCCTGGTAAAATCAGCCCATTTCTCAGCCAACGCCATGCACTTGTTTTTCAGGACATTTCGAGTCGGGATCAAGTGACCTCATCTGGGTACTTTTGAGTGGTTCGCCACATCAACCTTGTAAAAAAATTAAATTACATTCAAGTGGGATCCGGTTTTACATAGATTAGATGCAACGATTAACACTTACAACATTTATCAAAGTGCGTAATTGCCTCTTGAGCACAAAATCATAGTGTGGACTAATTACTACAATGAAGATGGATTCAAAAACAAACTTCCTACTGTTTGAAATGGTTTGTATTATCACGTTATCGATACTTTGACTGAAATTTGACCACTCTTGGTTGGCATGTTGGGCAACCTGTGCGGGCTGTCTCGATTTAGCCATTATTACAAAAGTTGATATAGAATTGATGGGATGTGGTTAGCAGTGTAATCCAGAACGGGTGTTACATCCCAGACTGATCAAATTTCAGCCAAAAATATCAGTATTGGGATAACACAAGCTATATTAAATCTCATACCCATTGCACAATTGGAAGGCTATTTAAACTGAGGTTAAGCGGATAACGCGATGGCGTTTGAAGCGAACGCCAATGGGTTGGAGTCTCTGAGTGAACATTAATCCTTGGATGCAGACACATCCAGCCGACAAGACCCAAATAGGACTAAATAGGCATCGTGGATCCCATTGCTAGCCAACTTCCGTCTATTCTATGTTAAATTCTGTTGTAACGGGTGACTGCAGGTTTTGATAAGAAGCGTTTTTATCGATCGATTACAGTGACACGGAAAACACGTAGTGAACGACCTAGTGCCCTGATTGGTCCCGCTTCCCTGTCTAGCCCAGCCAGTTGAGTCTAGAACGCAAGTCACAGCCGCTGAGTTATGAATCATTATATTTCAGACATACTCTATTTATATACTAACCAAACAGACCACATCGTACCATAAAAATAGAAAACAACATCTGTACAATATTTAACGAGTGAAATAAATAACGGCCAATAAGGAATGTCCATTTAAGGTCCAAGGACATCATTAGACTTAACATGATAATGATTGGTATATTATTCTGCATCCATAACAAATTCATACTGAAAAAACCTAAACAAATGAAAACACTGAAAGTCAATGAACGAGCCTCACCCTGAATCAGTATGAGAACTTCGAGATTCTTCCCGAAATGTAGTATTCGGAGAAGTAGCATACCTTATACTACTTTCGAAGAATCGTTGATTTCAACAACCACATGAAATGTAAACAAAGTACATATTTCTGAAGGTTTGCATCACGAACTGATCTAGGTTAGATAATCAGTGAAAACCAAGAAGTGATGCACAGCTGCTTCGTTCTAATATGGAACTCCTCTGTAGTGCCCATTTACGACTCCACCAGATATCGAATTTAAAGCACTCAGGTCCCGCAGAGAGTGCACATTCTTCAGATCACTGAAATGATATACAATGGTTTATGTACCTTATTTTAATCAATCAGAAATATTACGCAACTATCTCTTAGTGTCGTTGCTAAGTGACAGTGCCTTACAGTAGACATAACTGGATTACATTAGTCCCGGTTTCCTATTAAAAATCTTGAAGTTATCTCTTGAAATTAGTTACTAATACGTAAATGATTATTTGTGTGAGAAATTTGTAGAGATTGTCGAATGTTATAATGCACATCAAGATTCTTAGATATTCA